ACACACACACACACACACACACACACACACACACACACACACACACAAGCACACAGAGTGCACAGACACACAATGAGGTGCACACACATACACAACAAACGCATGGGGGACAAAACAAACAAACAAAAGTAGAACGTGATCATTGAACATAAACAAATAAAAACTGAATAAACTAATAAAGGGAAAAATGAATTTGTTTCAACTGTAGACAAAAAGAGACAAAGACGAGAGAGGATCGAGTAGGAAGACAGAAAACAATCAAAATATAGATGGTGATGATGGAGACGTTTAAGCTGCCAGAGGAAAAGTAAAGGAAGGCATGAAGGAAGTGATAGTTTATAAAGTGTTGTGAATGGAAGGATGGAGGGATTAAAGAAAAACGTTAGTACCACCTTAGCAGGTTCTTTGGTTTCAGAAACCGTGTTATCAGGTGACGCTGCTTCTGTTTGTGGGACATCGACCTGCGCGACAGAGAAGTTACCATGAAACCGTCAGTCGCACACGGACAGAGGAATCCCTGTTAGCAGTTAGCAGCAACAGGACGCTTGTTATCACGGCGTGAGGATGGAACCGCCTGCCTCTCCTCGTCTTTGTGTCCTGACTTTCTGCACCACTTTAACGCCCACACAGGAGGAAGATCATTACAGCAAGGGGACAAAAAAAAAACAGGGCACAAACCGACACAAAATGATCACATTATGGGATATTGTTTTTTTTCTTCTTTCTTTTAGCATTGATGAAAACTGCTGCTTTAGTACCTGCTGCCTTAACATGGTATATATATAGACATTTTTTTTTCTGAATGTACCACAAAGTAGATACAAAGATTTAAGATACAAATTAAAAAACAATGTCCACAGCAAATTTATGAGCTTATAAAGAAACCTAACCAGCATCCGTATTTAGTTAAACAGTAAAATCAGTTCAGGGTCAAAGTGGCCAACTTGCAGTTCTAAAACATGACTCGAAAAATCTCATCTGGAATAACAAATGTTTGTCCATTAAAGTAAATTAACTCCAATTTAATTAAGGCAGCATCTCACTGGGCTTTGACAAGGTGGTGAACTACACTCCTGAGGGAATCTCCAGAGTTTTGAGACTTTTCAAGGATCATCAGTTTTTGAGTCATAGAGGTGCACAACTCTTGAGTTTTGAACATGTTCAAAATATTTGTGCAACAAATTTTCTGTCAAAATACTGTAGTTATTGCAGGTGTCTCCAATATGTCTCAAAATGAGGTAGTAGCCCAAAGTACCACGCTGCTCAAAAATACTAATAAGTGATGAAGTGGTCCAAACCTACTAAGTGTTCTCCGGTAGATCAAACATGTTGTCAGCAACCAGGGTGGGTACAAAACAAGCTGAGGCAGGTACGATGTGGGATGAGGAGAACAACAAAACAAAGTGATTGGCCAAGAATATAATTTTAAAAGCCGTGCACACAAAATAGGCTGTGAGTTTCTAAAACTGAGCATTGACCATGCAACCCCCATGGCTCACTCGGCCACAGATACAGAAAATTTCATCAGACTGCAACAGAAAATGTTTTGGTATAGTTTTGCATCACCAACTGGTCTCCAACAGCAGTGAGATACCACCTTAATCAGAAGTGGAAACAAGCACCTCAAAGGCAGAAAGTGTAGCAGAAATGAGAGGCCTTTGTGGCTCAGAGGAACTGCGGCAGTAAAAGTAGAAGGGATACACGTGGTTCTACCACCATCTACCGTTGCTTCTCAAATACTGCAGCCAGCTGGAAAAAAAAAATCAACGTCTGCTGCAGTACTGATGCTCTCTCCCCCTGGAGGCGCTACGTCAAACACACAAAAACACGCAATACAAAACAAAAACAGAAGTTTGGAAAGGAGCAAAAGGTTCAGAGAGTAGACCAATCCCCTTCAGCAGAGGAACATGCAGCTGTGCAGAAACCCATCATCCAATCTGTATATTTAAGGGCTGCATAAACAAGAACAGAGTGTTTAGAAGATCTGAGTCAACAGAGCTCAACAATAGAGACAAAGTAAAACAAAAACCCCTGCGCTGAAAACACACAACTGAATACTTGTCCGGCTAAAATGGGGATAAAAAGAAGAGGAAGTAAAGATAATCACATTATCAAACAAAGCTGGAAACAACAACGTCATCAAGGTATGAAAGACATCAAGAAAAGCCAAACATGGAAAAAAGAACAAAGGAAAGTGTAAATGTAGAGAAACAGTGACTCAAAGACAAGAGCTGGAAAGGTTTTGAGCTTTAAACCTGCAGAAAACAAACAATGACCGGTGTAAACGCTTGTTTTAAAATTTAAAAGTTCAGCAGTCCTCGGGACAAACACATCCGTGCAGACGTACCACGTGTTGCAGCTGAACGCGCACGGATGCAGGAGAGGAGGTGAGACGATTCTCCCACTGGTTGAGCTGAGGAGGAGAGGGAGGTGGCGCCTCCATAAAGGAGCGTTTCAGCTGGCTAATGCTAGCTTGGTGTTTCAGAACCTCGTCTTGGGTCTTATCATGGTCCTAATAGGGAAGGGACAGGAAGATGGAGGGGGTGGGGGGGAGTTGGAGGAGTAAAAGGCAGGTAGAAAGTAAATGAAGTAAAGGTGTGGGGGGTGGGGGGGCAGAGGGATGAGGGGATAAAGTAATGACAGAAGAGGTATGGAGAAGGAAAATATGTGAGGAGTAAGAGATTGCAAAGGTTGAGTAAATAGCATAAAGAATGGGATCAGAGGAGGTGTGATCATAAGAAACAAAGAATGAAGAAGGGGGATAAGGGGGGGGGGCGTTTGGGGGAAAAAGGAGAGCAGGATGAGGAGGGAAAACATTGCTCACAGGAACATTAATTTGTCAATCTGAAGGGTAAGATGGATGCTGTGCCTCACTGAAGCCTTGTTAAAGTACAAATGTCTTTTTTTTTTTTAACTTGTCACTTGTGCGATGGAGTCACGTGCATTGTTTAAGCAGGCTTCAGTGAAACGGGGCCTTCCATCTTAAATGTTGGGAGCAGCGGGGTGGAGCTGGTCAGTTTCTGTCTGCCATTTACCATTTTTCTGTCCGTTTCATTGGATCAAAAAATGTCCTCACTGCCTTTTCACAAATTATCTGGTTATTAGACCACCATCAGTTCTTTAACATGATGACAGTGAGCATGCATCCAGGGTACAAACTCAGGACGTATTTTAGTCTCAGGTGTAAACACATAAAACCATCTGATTAACCAGGATGGATATAATTGCCGAGCCTGAACAGAGAAGTAGCTAAATAATTTGCTTATAATCAACAATAATGGAAGACTTTGATGCTTTATTTTTTCAAATACACCATTTATTCTGTAAAGATTTTTGATGACACTCTAGACATTTTAAAGCAAAGGCAGCAGACCACTATCAGCCCCACTTTGCACAAACATGTTGTTGCTTTAGTACGTTATCAGACCGCACATGGTTCAACGCTGGCAGCAAATCACCAGAAAACAGGAAGAAGCTCCTCATTCAGGTTAGAGAGGCAGGGTTAGTCGGGTTAAACGCAGCTGCCTGACAATAATCAAACTGTCTGACCGACCAATTGAGAACACAGCGATATAAACACAGTCACAAAACAGCATTCAACATGCACTGAGCATGCACGGAAGCCATGTTGAAACACCATCCATCCTATTCACAAAGCAGCCATTGTGAACACTCAGCCTGGGAGATTTTCAGCATGAGCAAGAGTCTGCTGTTGTGTAGATGTACACTAAACACATCGTATACAAGTTTTATTTCTAAAGATTCGTCAAGCTCTCTTTTGGTTGTATTGCTGAAACATGATGCCTTCATTTAGTCTATTAACTAGCATTTACAAACACTTATTTTTCTTGATTTAATCAATTTAAGCAGTTAACATAGTTGTTTTCTAATGGACTGCTGCAGATCTAGTGGAGCTCAAACTGTCATCTTGGTGCTGAACTCTACAACTACGACAGAGTTTTAGGGCCACGTTAAGAAAATAAAATTGCATTACGAGAAAAAAGTCATAGTATTACTAGAATAAAGTCGTAGTATTACTAGAATAAAATCGTATGAGAATGAAGTTGAAACATTACGAGAATAAAGTCATACAACAATAAAGTCATGATTTACGAGAATAAAGTTGTATAAGAATAAATTTGAAATTATTATGAAAATAGTCATAATATTATGAGAATAAAGTCGTAGTATTGCTAGAATAAAGTTGTACGACAATTAAGCTATGATATTATGAGAATAAAGTCATAATATTACGAGAATAAAGTTGTAGTATTACGAGACTAAAGTCATAAGATTACAAGAATAAAGTCGAACAACAATAAAGTCATAATATTATGGGAATAAAGTTGTTGTATTACAAGAATAAAATCACAATATTACTAGAATAAAGTCGTATGAAAATAAAGTCACAATATTATGAGAATAAAGTAGTAGTATTATTAGAATAGTCATATTACGAGAATAAAGTTGTAGTATTACGAGAATAGTCATAATAATAATAAGAGATAACATCATATGATAATAAAGTCATAATATTATGAGAATAAAGTCATAGTATTACAAGAATAAAATCATAATATTACTAAAGTCGTATGAGAATAAAGTTGAACTATTACAAGAATAAAGTTGTAATTATATGAGAATAAAGTTGTAACATTTTGAGAATAAAGTCATAATAATATGAGAATAAAGCCATAGTATTACGAGAAAAAAGTCATAATATTGCAAGAAGTAACTCCATAAAGTAATCACACACTCCATAATAAACTAAATAGTCCGCTATCACTTTTGGGTCACTGTTTGTGAAATATGCCTCCATCCACATTATGTCACGACTAAATCCATCAATGCAGCCATTAATTGCAATGCCATATAGCTTCAATTTATCATAATGCATATGCCACAGTGCGTTGGGCCCCCTGCTATTGTACTGCCGATGTCTGAGACGCCACGCTCGCCGAAGTTCAACCCCAACTGGATTCAAAATCTTGATGACCATCCTCATTGTCTACTGAGAAACAACAAAACCTTTTTGAATGGTACACAGATGTAACCACCTATAGCCTTACAGTCAACCACTGCCAGAAAGCTCCTCTTCCACAAAAGAAGCAAAATTTTCCATTTGGTTCTTTCTTTGAAAAATACATAGTTGTTTGCACAATAGTTTCAAAGATCTGATACTGATAATAATCTGATGCTAATTTCCTTATTTGTAAAACCAATACCAAAGTATAACTTAACAAGACGCTCAACATTCATCATTTTACCACAGTTTGTAAGACTGCTTTTTTGTGTCTAAGTTCTGATAATACTACAACTTTATTCTGGTAATATTATGAGTTTATTCTCGTAATACTCTGACTTTATTCTCATATTATTTTGACTTGATTCTTGTAATACTATGACTTTATTATTATAATACTACGACTTTACTCGTAATTTTATGACTTTTTTTCTTGTAATTATTTTTCTTAGCGTGGCCCTAATACTCTGTCATACTACCACAGACCAATTTTATTTATTTTTTTACTATATGACATAACCATTTTAAACTATAAAACATAATGTTAAGTAGAACCTAAAACAATAAGTTTATTTAACCTGAAATATGAAAACAATAAGTTTATTTAACCTGAAATATGTTTAGTGCTAATTCCAAGATTGGAGCCTTTTTACTATAAACAGCTTCAACTGAATTACAAAGTACATATGACATCAGTTGGTCATGACATTTCTGCTGATGTGTTCAAAATAGCTGCTGTGTAAATCAGGACAACTTGCACTGAAAGATCTCCATCCAAAAGGTTTTTCAGAGAGTTGCTGAAAATCTGGATTTGAGAGTGGACCACGTCCAGAGACGAGGAGACACGAAGGCATGCACACAGCGCCTGAGAGTGCGAGAGGGCAGCAGTCCTTCACAGTAAAGTACAGACTGAGTTGTAGTTCTGATGGCGTCGGAAAAACATGTAGGTCTTATGTTCAGCCATCAGACGATGCCAGTACCAACCTCCAACATTAAATTACTGTGCCTCACATAAATATTGTCCCCATGCACTCTCAACCGACTCTGGAAAGCAATCAATAAAAAAGGGAATGTAAGGTGAAAATATGGAAAAAGGTAAAGGCCAATTAAAAATATTTGAAAAAATTATCAACTAAAAGACAAACCAAAAACATTATTGCCAAAAAACAAACAAACAAAACAACCTCAAGAAACTCAAATGCAAACATATAACAGAAAAATCAAGTTGAAAATGAGTCCAAACACAAAATATACTTTTTGTCACTCATGTTCCTCAGACCACATGCACAAAACAAAGCATTTAAAATAGCACAACACCCACAGACATGTACACAAACCAAAAAACCCCAGCATGTTTTCAGCACACACAAAAACAATGAACCAAAACCCCAAACTGAAACTGTGAAGCTGTACCCAACAGAAGAGCATCTGAAAGTGAAAACCGTGGATGAAAAGTGCCCACTCAGGATCACTTTGAGGGAAAATCTCTATTTAAAATACAACCATTTAAAATATACAGTAGACCCTCGTTTATCGTGGGGGATCCGTACCCTGAAGCCCCGCAATAAGTGAAAAACCGTGAAGTAGGAATAGTAGTACAAGAAGGAAGTAGTTGTTTATTTTAGTGTATATGTATATATATATTTATATGTGTATATATATATTTATATGTGTATATATATATATTTATATGTGTGTATATATATATACATATATATATATATATATATATATATATATATATATATATATATATATGGCGTTTTAAACCCTTTCCACACTCTTGAATAATTCTATGTAAACGACGTTTCTAAACTCTACATGCTCTAAAAGAGAACAGCATGTCATGATCTCAGCTCTCTGCCTCCTGCTGCACTCTGCCACCTGCCAATGCTCTTGGCCACGCCCACTTCTCCGTTGCAGAGCGGAGCTATGACAAGCTGCATGAAGAAGCTTCTCCTGCAGCTTGGGCTGCACACTGGTGCTAAATAATTTAAAATATTTTCTTTTTAAATGAAAATTCCATGCCAATCCTGTGGCTCATCCATCAATCAGCCAATTGTGTGTCATGTCCAATTTTACTTTGAAAAATCCTGATAGAGCGAGTCTGCAAAAAAACAAATCGCAAAGTGACGAGGGACTACTGTATTTTATTAACTTGAATCAAGTCAGTGTTTGAATTTGTCTGGTTTTATCATATTTAACTTTTAAAATGTGCTTGTTGTGATAATTTCAGGGTACCTTTAACCATCAAACCAATCAGCACGAGCAGAAAAATTATTGACAGACCAGTACACAATCAATCAATCAATAATGAGGTTTGAACCTGTGAGTGGCCAGGCTCACTGCATCCAGGTGACTGTCGGGGTGAAGAAGTCAGAGAAGGAATAAGGACAGGTTAGTCTTACTGCTAACACTAATAAATTAAAATAATTCAAATTTATTCAACATTAAGGAGCATTTTCACTCCAGTTTTAACAAATCAGCTATTTTTCTTTCAAGTTGCATTAAATGCAGGGTAAAAACAGGCCTTTACAGACCTGGGGGGGCATGGCTTCCACATCACCAAGGCTCAAGTCCATCTCCTTAACCTTCAGAGTGGTTGTCATGATAGTCAAAACAAAGGTGATAGGAGGATGAAGAATAAAACAGTGAAATGGATGATGGGAAAAGCTTAGTCTGCTGTAACTTTAGTGTTTGGGAGAACTGCAGGTTATGTGGCCTTAAAACCCACTGAAGCTGTATCATAAAAGTTTAACGCACGAAGAAAGTAATTACTCTATGTCCAAAAATAATATTTCTATCATATGAGGACAAAGCATTTATGTTTTCCCTAAATAGCTTTTTATGTACAACACAGATTTATAAAACAAGAAAAATTGTTAAATTTTCAGGATGTAAACAACAAATAATACTTATACTACATCTACAACTGGCTACTGCAGAGCCTTTTTCAACAGGGTTAATAACTCTTAGCACTCATGAGCAATAATAAACAAAATATAAATGTTTCACTACCTTTGTATGTTCTGTGTGAACCTGCGTCTACATTTCCAACATCTAACAGCTCATTGTCCACTACAAAACTACAAATCAGGTCAAAAACAGATATCACAAAAGGTTTTTTTCCCCTAAATAATATCACTGTGCTCCTTCATTCAGTGAGCTCTTATACAGTGCAACCACATTCCTGCAAAATGACACAACTTTTCTTCCTTTGGAGCATCTTCTTAAGCTCCTAACAAACATAAATTTACTCTATATGAACGTATTAATGGTGTTCTCTTTCAGGATTGTTTGTCTTTTTTGTTACATTATTTACAGCATTTAAAACTTTCTATAATCTTACTTATTCTACTCTGTTATAAGTATACAATGGGGTTGACAAGGTGCAGGAAAGAGTACAAGGAGGAACTCTCAGGAGAGGAAAGCGCTGGTGGCAGGGATAAAAAAAAAATGTGCAACGGATTCATATTAATGAAATAAATGAAAGAAAGTGGAACATAGGGCAGGATGAGTGATGCGTGAATGTGTGCCTTTATGCAGCTGGATCACACATCTCCTGCATCCAGGTGGTCCCTGCGTGGTGCTTGGTGTGCAGAGGGGTGTGTGATGGGGTGAGGGCTGAGTTTTCATTCTTAAAAGCAGAGCTTTGATGCTCCGTCTGATCGCTGGGCTTTTGGTTGACAACTGTTCTTTTCTGACTGGAGACAGCGCTCTCCAAGTAAAACAGGGTCAGTCCGAGTGGTGTGGCTAAAATTAGAGCTAAGACAACAGACTGCCTTGCTGTCAGCATCACAACGAGGAGGAAGAGTGCCAACAGGACGGGCAAGAAGAGAGGAGAGGGGTTGAGGAGGTAGCGGCGGAGAGACGAAGAAAGGTTAGAGGGGAAGTAGGAAGCCAGAGGGGGAAGAGAGGAAAGCAGAGGTGGGAAAATGAACAGGGAGGAAGAGGAAACGAAACGAGGACAGGAGAAAAGTGATACCGAGGGCCATTGGAAATATGTTGAGTGTGAAGGAAGAGAAGTGACCAAATTTAGAAATTTTGAAGAAAGTTGTGTCAAAAATTCCACAACATGAGCCCAACGAGTTACCGAGCTGTGAAATATTAGATGTAACTTGGATTTAACTATGTTGCAAAGCTCATATTTAGAGCCTGGGATGGTCAAGTGATTCAGTTTTGCATCGGGTATTTGCACAGTAGTAGGAGTGAAAACAGCCAGTTTATTTGATAATCCTGCAAACAGCTTTGTGGGATAACACCTGCTTCCACTCTTACCCAACACGGAGAGGAAACACAAAATGAAAGAAACACATTTAACCACACCCTTCGTACGGAGCCAGTGTTGCCAGTTTGCTTGGCCAGCTGTTGCTCTGTTTACATCGCAGCCCTCCTCCAATTTCAAAAGCTCTGAGCTGAATGTTTGGGGGGTAATGACTGGGATGGGCGATGGTGGGTTCTGAACAAGGTGTTCAAGATCAGCCAGCTGCTGATCGGAGAAAATGGAGAAGGTGTTTGGTGGAAGGGACCACAGTGCGTGAGGGGTTTCTGCATCGTCAACATGGTCGTCGTCCTCAGAGATGTCGGAGAGGCCGCGGTCGAACTCCGAGATAGAGTCCAGGGAAGGGGCAATGGATGAGAGTGAGGATGATGAGGAGAAGGAAAGAGGAAACATGAAGATTGACTAATGGGTTAGATGTGAAGAAGAGATTAAATAAATAAATACAAGCAGAAAGGAAATACCCGTGTGCATAAAGTAAAGGAGTGAGCAACAAAATAATTGAACGGCTCAAAATGTGCATAAAATAAAAATACAATCAGTTACGTGAAATGATAACAAAAAGGAAGATCGTGCAGGAAAGATGAGGGAACAGCAAATAAAAGGGTGTGTGTGAAGGGGAAAGAGAAAGGGAAAGAGACATAACATTAGTCAGTGATCAACAAAGCACAACATTAACAGTGAACACAGCAGGAAAAGAGCAAAGTGCCAAAAACAGTGAGCACAGAAACTGTCAGCTAGTGAGACAAGGTGCTGAGAGTTTGCAGGTAAAGTGGGGTGTGGGGGGGTCGTAACGAAATGCAGGTGGGACAAGAGACATGCACAACATACAGAATATTCTCCTGTAGTTGGGACAGACTGATTCAGTGTCCCCGCTGGTGGACACAGGTTCATATTGGACAACAACGGTGAGGTCAGAGGATGCAGAGTGAGAGCATCGTTTCATACGACAGATGCCAAATTGCAAATAAATTTTGCACTTTTGCATTTTAGTTATTCAGGCAAATAAATATATTTATTTCTGCTGGCATCACCATAGGCAGCACCAAAAGTACAATATAGTTAGCTGCTGCTGCCCTTGGTGATTGCTAGCAATTAAAGAATTCTGTGGGGAAAAAAAACAAACATGTAATGCAAAACTCATCACAATAGCTTATAAAATTATGTTTACATTAACAGCTTTGAAACATTTCCGATCGGCGTTATTCCTCCATAACAGTTTATAAGGTGTTGGAAAATAAGTAGAAACATGAACAATAAGAACGTCTAAATTAAGTTTCCACATCTCAGCCAACTGTTCTGTTCTTACATAACTATTGTCTGTATTTGACACCAACAATTACAGTTTTTATTGGTCAGTCCAATAAATGGGACTCTCAGCAACAGTATATAAAAAAAATAATAAAAAAATAAAAATCTTTGGCTCTTTTTCTGCAAATACCCACCTTGGAGTCAGAGTGAAGCTCGAGATGAGGCTCATGTCCGTTCTCAGCCATGTCTCTCCCGGCTTCAGTTATACTGATGGCTGGTGCTGAGTGAAGAGGAACACAACAAAAACCTGCTGATTCTTCCACTGACAACAATGGTTTACAGTCATAACAATTCTGATTTGCCTTAAAGAGACTCTCAGGTAGATCCTAATATTTGTGGATTACACTAAACTTCTTTTCTTTTGAACACATTGGAACTTCTACTTCAAGCAGATCATGACATGAACAGGACAACTACCTGAACCTTGAGCTTTTTGTGCACTTTACTTTGAGACTGAAGTATTTTTTTAATGGCGGAGCAGAAAATATACTTGTGGTCTAAAAGAACAAGAACATCAACGCCAGTAAATAAAATGTCCTGCAGGGGTCAGTGTAAGGTAGTGAGTGCATTAATGAGACACAAATAAGGATCAGTGAAGTGGAATCTGTAAACCAAATGCAGAAATGACAGAAAAACAATGTGTTGCTTTCCAAAAAACAATAAAATGGTTCAAAATATTATGTTCATATGTGTAAAAAAAGGAAAGAAAATGTTTATTCCCATTAATTTTTTGGCAAGTTTACTTCACAGTTATTTATTACTCAGAGGTCAGAGCATTGTGCGTCATGGCTCATCATATGGTAGGGGTCTTGTTCTTTTCAATAAACAGAACATTCTTTATTCTCATCTTTCTCTTACCCCCACTTCTTGTCTATCACAGTGTGACAGGAAACACACGCTCCAGCTATTTCCTGTATCTGCCCAGACACTGAGCATTTTACACCCATTTAAACAAAGGCATCTACACATAAGCTAGTGAAATCTACAAACCTATAATTACTGACTTAAGTCCTTACATTATTCTTTCCATTCATCCATAACTTCAAAATATATTGCTTAACATATGCTAACTATATAAGCTTTCTGACTTTTTGCTGTATTGAGTTGTGTGCTTGTGTTACCTCCATCCAGGCTACGGCTGATGCGTTTTGATGAGGTACGTTCAAAGTTGGGCGCAGGTCGGTCTATGAGGGAACTGGCCAAGCGAGTCTGGGTTTGGGTCCGCCCGCTGTAGCGGAACTTTGATCCCAAAGTCAAGAAACGAGCCTTGGTAGGAGGCTCTGGTGTGTTTAACCTAAAGATAAACAATGGGACACCCAGACAGGGAAAGATGGTGAGTTCAAAAAGTATTTGTCTGTCTGGTCTTACATCTTCTACCACTTATCTGGAGTTTGGTCATGGAGGCAACATGTCCATAACAGAAACCCAGACATCTATCACACTTTCCAGATCCTCCCAGCCAGAGAGGATAGAGGACTTAAAACTAGCTGGATATGTCCAGCTAGTTCTACGTCTGCCAAGGGGTCTCTCCCATGTGGAACATGCTAATGGGAGGCATCCAGAAGGCATCCTAACCAGAGCCCTACCCCCACTCAACTGACTCCTTCTGATGTGAAACAGCAGCAGCTCTACTCCAAGCTCCCCCAGGATGACGGAGCTCCTCACCCTATCTCTATGGCTGAGTCCAGCGACCCCACGAAGGAAGCTCATTACAACCACTTGTATCCAAGATTTCATTCTTTCAGTCATTTTCCACACCTATTGATCATAGGCAGAACAAAAATTTTTCACAACAACCGACCAAAGCAATACCCTCCTTTTTTTATTCTTCTTTCGACTGCTCCCTTCTTCAGGGGTCGCCACAACGAACTAAGTCGCACAAAGACTTGGCAGCTATTTTTACACCGGATGCCCTTCCTGACGCAACCACAGACCACCGAGCTACCACAGCACTCTGTGTGGAGCAGAGAGCTGCTATCTAGGACACCCGGAGGAGCAGATGGTAGGGGTTAAGGGCCTTGCTCAAGGGCCCAGAGTGGGACGAATGAGGGTGGGGGCAGGTGTGGGTGCTTCACCTACCCCACCCACATTTTAGATGTTGTCGTACCGGGGCTTGAACCAGTGATCTTCCGATCACAGGCTCAGCTTCACTAATCTCTGCACCACCACTCCCCTCCTTATTGAGGACGAAGTTCCAATCTATCGATCCATCCCCATTACCATCACTTGTGAACAAGGCTTCTAGATACTTGAGCACACCTAAGGCAAATATTAATTTTGGACCAGAAGGGCATATTACACCCATTTCTTGTTGAGAACAATGACCTCGGAGTTAGAGGAGCTGACTCTCAGTCCAGACGCTCTGCATTGGGAGGCGTGCAAACTGCCCCAGTGCATGCTTAAGGTAATGGTCTTAAGGTGCTATCAGAACCACATCATCTGCAAAAAGTAGAAATGAGACAATGCAATTCCCAAACCAGACACACTTCTCTCCAAAACTGAGCCTTGAGATCCTGTCTATGAGCATCACAAACAGAGACAAAGAACATTACTGGCAACGCCAAACCTGCATCAAGCACAACCTTGACTTTGTGCCAGGAATGTAACAAAGCTCACACTTTGGTTTGTTGTTGTAACTCGTTATCCTCATTTCATTAAGAGATGTTATAGCTACTGATGGCTGTAGGCAGGAAGGATATCCTGTAAAGATCCATCCCACAGTGGATCCTAAGAAACTGGCTGCAGATGCCGTCCGATCCGTCCACTCAGACTCGGCTGGCCTCTCAGTTCCCCCGGGCTGTAGCACCACCTGAATGCCAGGCAGAACTCCTCCCAGAGCAAGGGCCACTCCTCCCAGCAGTCTGCCGAGCTCCTCGTTGCTGTGGACAGCCAACTGTAGGTGCCGAGGGACGATCCTGTCCTTCCGCTGTCATGAGCCGTGTTTCTTTCTAGTTCCAGGATCTCAGTGGTCAGGCACTTGAGAACAGCTGGAAGGTAGATGAGAATGTGTCCACAGAACATCCTTTCAACTCGTTTGAGATTTGGGGCTGTAGTTGAGATATTATTTGAGCTTTTGAGATGTTAATTAGCTGCTGTTGGTTGTAGAAAACTGCCTTGTTGCCATGGTTACGCATCATAACAAATGTCCCAAACTAAATGAGTTTCAGTAAAAATCCTACCAGCTGCACAGCATCTGATACCAGAGGAAACAATCATCCAAAAAATGTGATTTACATCCAGAAAAAGTGGAATTAAAGTTTCCAAAAGCAAAATCTCAGAATGAAAATAACAGAGCTGCTCCAACATGCAGCCACCTTGAGCGGCGCAATTCTAGAACTACAGAGACCAGATAACCCTTAAAAGTAACCCTGACACCCCCACACTACCATGGCACCAGCCACAGAATGTCTCATGGCACACGGTCATAAGTCTTCTCCAGATCTACAAAACATATGTAGACCAAAGAGGCACATTTCAAAGAACCTTTTAGCAAACCTGCAATAGGCAAGATTTGATCCTCTGTTCCAGGACCAACCAGAACCAAGGACACACAGCTCCTCCTGAATCTGGGTTTAACAAATGGTTGGAGTCTCCCTTCCAACATTCTGGAGTAAACTTTACAGGGGAGGCTAAGAAGTGTAATACCTTGATAGTTGAAACACACCTTGTAGACCCTCTTAATAAAAATGGGAACCACCACCCAATCTGCCACTGCACAGTTGTTTTCCAGTCTTCTGTGCAACAATAAAGAGATGTGTTAACCGCGACAGTGTCCAGAACCTTCAGCATCCTCAGGGTGAATCTCATCCACCCCTGGAGCCCTGCCACTGAGTTTTTTTTTTTTGTTGACTACCTTGGTGACCTCTGCCATGGTAATGGACTGGTCTTCCCCCAAGTCCTCAGACTCTGCCTTCAAATAGGTGGACACGGTGGCCAGATTTGGGAGATTACCTTAGCAGAAGGTTACCAAACTTACCACATCAAATGCTTCTTCAACAACATCTCCAGTCCATGCCAGCAGTTCCCCACTTAAACTAAGCATAGCCTGGAATAGGACATGCTTTCCCTTTCTGAGTTGCTGAACAGTTTGTCAAAACCTCCTGAGCCAACCAAAAGTCCTAATATGACTTCTCTAAATTCTTCCCATGCCTGTTTTTGCATTCCCCAACAACAGAAGCTGCAATCTTTTTGGCCACCCTGTACCAGTGAGCTGCTTCAGGATATCTTTGGGTCAAACAAGCCCTAAAGGCATCCTTTTTCAGCTTGACTGCCTCCATTACAGCTGGTGTTTACCAGCGAGTCCCTCGGATGCAGCTGAGACAAGCACCAAAGACGTTCAGGACACAGCCCCTGGAAGCTGGGTTCAGATCCGGGAGGCTGTTCCTCTCCCTTCCAGCTAAATTATACATGAGAACAATAGAATCCCCAGATAGCACTCCTTCCAGAACACCAAGAGGGACAGGTAATATGAACTGATATTTGGTGTACAAACCCAAACAACTGTCAGAACCTTCCCTACTGCAGCTCAAAACTGAGAGAAGTAACCCCTCTTGTTCAACGGGGAAAACACATAGTCATTTTTACAGTTACTTTAATATGTGCAGGTGCGTAATAAAAATGTTTCCAGGCAAGAATTCCTTGAACAGGATATTAAAGCTTATTCCACTTGTGTACAGACAAAGACACATGTACATAAAGCACAAACCCATGACAAAAAGAAATGCAACAATCATAGGCACATGGCTTACCTTTGTGTATACAGTGCATGTATGTTGTGTATATTAAAGGTTATCAGTCACCTTGATCATTAAATTATATTTACACAAAGAAATTTGCAGATCCAAATGAAAAACACACATTACCCTACAGAGTATCTTGAAAAAAATCAAATATAACAACCGGTAATACTAGCAACAGGAACTCCAGACTATAAAATCATATTTACACAGTGCGCTTGTGCTTTACAGTGTTTGTGTTTCTACCTGAAAAAGCTGTGATTCTCTACACAAACTTTCCACAGCTTTTTGGCAGAGCGATGATTCTGGAGTTTGAATCCAACCGTACTCTCAAACTGCTCCGTCTGTAAAAAAAACAATAACAACAAAAAAATTACAAGTAAACAATTAAGCAGTTCTGACGGGTTTATTTGATTTCATTAAAGTCGATTTAATTCCAGTTCGTTCTAGTAGATTTGATTCAATTTATTATTTGATCTAGTTCAAGTAGAATTGGTTCAGTTTAAGAAGATTTGACTGGATTTAATCTGATTTAATTCAAGTTGATTCAATTTAGCTCTGTAATTGACTTGTGACCTGTCAAGGTGTACCCCACCTTTTCTATGTCATAGCACAAAATCACAACTACATAACAACAAAATACATTTCAACAAAGAAGAATCCGTCCAGAGGAACTGACTCAACCTTGTTAAATGTATCTACCTGTATTATTGAGCAGCAGCAGGACAACAAAATTGGAGTTTTTTCAGTGTGTTGTACAAAAAACACTAAGCAGATTCAATTCAATGTGATTGTTTAAATCAGTCCAAGTTAAATTATATCACCTTAGAACAGTGTTGTATTTATGTGTTGAATTCATTTAAGTAACACTGAGTGAAAATCAGTATTTACAGATTGTTTATGTCTGCAACAAACCTCTCCTGGTCTGATCTTAATATAGAAGTTGTTCCTCTTGTAAGATATCTTGAGTATTTTAGGCCAAGCAAAACGATTTATCCGAAGTCTGTCTTTGTAGACCAAAAGCCCGTTGGCACACACACCAAGCATGATGTCCACACTCTCTGAATCCTGAAATAGATCAAAATGCACACGGGAAAAATATTTAATGCAATTACTATTCTAATGGTAACATCTGTAGATGGGACTAATTTCTCCACACCGGTTCGTGCAGCACATCGATTGATTTTTAAAGTAGTCTGCGTACGGTCAAAAGAAACTCAATTACCACACACGCACACACAAACACACACACGCACACACACTGTAATTCAGTACAAGTGTAACACAGTTAGCTGGCAGACTGTCTCACTACAGAGCTTTTAAATTCAAGGCCGGATGGTAATGGTTAGATTGTATCGATCACAGTGATGAATTAACAGAGGAAAAATATGTCCCGACTAATGGACAGTGCAGTTTTACAGGGCACATAGATGTTTTGCACAACACAGTTTCGCCATGCTAAGAGCCAACCATATTGACTTTCACAAGAGATATGGTTTAGGTCTTTGGTGCATTACAGGGACACCAGGGTTTTAATTGGATTTTGTTTATTACATCACAGACAGTTTGTAATGGATCTTGAGAAGAAAAGAACACAGTTCAACTGATAATCAGAACAGACACTCATATTGTTATACACACAGAAACTTGAATCAATTATGTATTCATGAAATGCATTAAGAGATCTGAATTGATATGTTTATAAACATAGTTCATTCCAGCTTCTATAATGTTCATATATGGTTCCCAGAGTTGAACAGTCTTTTGGTTTTCCAGACCTATACGTTCTGAAAGTTCTTTGATCCATCATATAGCAAAGGGAGTCTCGAAATTTTTCCAATCAAGCGCAACTAATTTGTCTTGTAGAAGTCCAAAGTCTTGTAATAATGTGAACGTTTACGAAGCATTCACACTATTGTGATCCATTTTTCTTACGTACATGTATTGGCGCGTTTCTCATCCTGCAGTTTTCAAGTTATTTCAACAAATCATAAATCAAAACGTTCAGCTTTTTCAGGACAATCCTGATAGGATTTTTGGTATTGGTGCAACTTTAGCTTTTTGAAATATTTAGCCTTTTCTGACATTGTTTTTCTCATAGAAAATGAATTGAGCTCATTCCTTCGAATCTTTAGATCTGTTTACAACCCTTTACTGCTCCTGTCAAATTTTGTTCTGGTTCAGCTTTTTTCAGCTTCCTTGTGTATGTTTCAACATTTTTTTTCAGCTATTTTCAGCTGTTTTGTGCTCATTTCAGATTCTTTCTGCTAAATAAAACATTTTTGTGCTTCTTCTAACTTCTTTCTGCTAATTTCAGCTTGTTATGGTCCTTTCAGCTTATTTCTGCAAATTTCAATTTTGTTTCTAATATTTCAGCTATTATTTAGCAGCTTTATGCTAATTTTAGTTTTTTTTCAGCTAATTCCACATTTTTTGCACTCATTTTAACTTTTTTCTACCTAATTCATCAAAAATGTGCTCTCTCCACTTCCTTCTGGTAATTTATACTTCTTTCTGCTTTTTAGCTACCATACTCTTTAGTCGTTTCTTTGGTTTTTTGTTGCTAGTTTCAGCTTTTTTCAGCTAATTTCCACTTTTTTGTACTACATTCTGCTTCTTTCAGCTTAATTGGGTAAACATGCATTCTTTCTGCTTTCTTCTGCTAATCTAAGCTTGTTTTACCTTTTCAGCTACCTTTCTAGCATTTTTTAGCTAATTTCGGCTGTTTTCAGATAAATTCAAGTTTTCATGTTAATGGTGCTACTTTCAGCCTAATTAACTTCTTTATGTTAATTTCAGCTTGTTATGCTCCTTTCAGCTTAATTATGCTAGTTTCAGCCAATTCTGCTATTTCAGCTACTATTTAACTATTTTATGGGAATTTTAGCTTTATAATCCAATTCCACTTTTTTAAAAATTCATTTCAGCTCTTTCCGCTTACTTCTGGAAGTTTAAGCTTCTTTCTGCCTTTCAGCTATTTTTCAGCCATTTGCTTGTTACTAATTTCAGCTTTTTCTAGCTGCTTTCCTAATTTTTGTGCTAATTTCTGCTTATTTAAAGCTAATTCAGCAAATACGCTCTTCCTGCTTTCTTCTGCTAATTTAGGCTTGCTCTTCCCTTTCAAATACATTTTAGCTAGTTTTTTAGTTAATTTCAGCCGTTTTCTGTTTCAGTTAGTCCCACATTTGAAGTAAAAACAAATCTTCTTGACCTTTTTGGTACCGAACCTTTCCAACACTCCTTAGCTTACAACTACCAATTTAAAATTTTCTTTAAGTGGGGTCAAAACTAAATCTTACATCTCAGCGCTCACCGGATTTTATTTCTACAATTTAAAACCGTTTTGCTTATAACAGTGAATGAATTTCATCTTATAACCATTGCTTAGTGTAAAAATATAAAATTTCACTGATCATTTTATTTATGACACTTGTGCATTTTCGTTTTTCCCCCTCAGAACAATTCTTAGTTACCAGTAAAAATAAAAAATAAAAAAGTTCATGATGCTGAATTACTTTAGCAAGAGAAAAATTACAGTATTTTCAAAATAATAGTCATGTGACTTTTTTTTTTCTTTTTTCAAATCAGTTGTTTAACAAATTTGATACTGTATCAATTTTAAACATCATATAAATATTACAGCATTTTAAGATTTCGTTGATAGATTTTCGGGCTAAAATAATTCTTATATTAGCCAGAAAAACTGAAATTTATCAACCCCCTGCATTTCTACAACTACGATATGCAATTTAAAACAAAACGGGTTTTAGGCTTTAAATTGTTCTGCAGCACTCATTCTTTCCCTGGAGGGGAATGTCCTCATCAGGAGGCTGTCCTAATCTGGGTTATAGCTCATTTCTTTCTCAATCCCAAATCACCCTTCTATTTTCAGACTTCTCTTCTCTCGTGTATTTCTGCTCAGTTTATCACAAAGACTCCAGGACAGGCTCGGATGCACATGGAAATCTGCACGCACTCTGCTGATGTCCTGCTATTCCAGTGAGAGAGAGCGAGTGGCTGTTCCCATGGAAATGGCCTCCCTGAGTGTTTGTTCAGCTGACGCACGCACACGCATGCACGCACACACACAGATACAGCTGCAGACACACTGGCATGCTTTCCCCACATCAAAGGAACTGTGCTAATCCCCAGATGTCAACAACAACAGGGAGGAGAGCAGAAGAGAGAAAGGCAGGGGAGAGGCTCGTTCATTTATTCATACCTTAGCGTGGTGCAGGTCCACCCCATACATCGACAGCTTCTTGGCATTTTCTAGAAACTGGAGGTCAGCCTGGGCTGGTGTCATACCCCTATAAACAAACAAAAGGCTGCACTAAACCAAATATATTGAAGAGACACGCTCTCATTGTATTTGGATCAAATACTAGGATGCTGTATGAAAACAAAGCAGTGAGATGTACAAAACACAGCAGGGAAAACAAAATTAATTTAAATGACAGAAAAAAAACCTCACATATGCTTCTGAGAAATGCTCCTTGAGTAATTCTGACAACATGATCCTGACATTTCTGACCTGTGGGATTTGTGGAGTTCAAGAATCTTCTCCTCCATCTCTTTGTTCTGATTGGGTGCAAAAGTCAGCTGATTGATGAAGTCCAAAGGACGAGGCTGGTCAGGTTCATAGTCACCAAATTCAGCCTGTAAAATATAAGAAAACAAACTACAGTAATTTCCGGAATATAAGCCGCTACTTTTTTCACACGCTTTGAACACAGCGGCTTATACAATGCTGTAGCTAATTTGATTTTCTTTTTTCTTTTTGACGGGCTAACGAGCTTCATGCTGCCAAAACATTAAGCTTCATCACACCCGTCCGCTCTCATTGCTGCCCAATAAATATCCCACTTGGGGGGTGGGTCCTCGTGACTCAATGAGACTACCCGCATAAATAAAGGTAAAAAAAAAAAAATAATAAAATCTAATTAATGAAATTATCGAACAGATCACAAGTGAACTGTGGAAGCTCCCTGTTCTCTCCTTCCTTCCCCGTTGTGCCCCCAAGGAGGGGCAAACTTTGTTTCATTGCAAATATTTTCCCCCAATGAAGTATTTGCAGCCACTCGAAATAATTGTGAATCGTGCATTTAAAATGACACTCCGAGGACGGTGAGCACGTCCAGAGACAAGCCACAGAGGCACTGCAGAGTTCATATAAAATCGCTCAGTTCAAATAGTTCCCTCTGGAGAGATCCATATACACTCAGGGGGTGTCGAGGACGACCAAGGACGAATCCAAAGAGTCCTGCTGGGCCCCTGTGAAAAGTCCATGGAATTCCTTGGTAGGAGGGGAGGGAGGGGCAGAGCATCAGGTTTACACAACATCCAGGATTCGGAAGGTTTGTAGAAGAGAGGCTATAAGCAGTTTCACTGACAGGACAGAGCAAAGCAAAGTGGAGAGGGAGAGGAGAAGAAGGCATCCGCCCTTGACAAGAGCAAGTGTTGAAGTGATGAAATGTTACAGGCACTGTTCAGAAAAAAACATTTACTGTACGTATTTGTGTATGTTATGTTTGTATTTAAGTAAAAAAAAAATTTAAATCTTCCTGTGCAATTATGTCATGTTACAACATGGATACCCGTTGCTTATAGACAAGTGTGGCCTATATATGTAACATTTATTTCTAATTTAGTGGGCGCGGCTTATAATCAGGTGCGTTCAATAGTCTGGAAATTATGGTATTTCTGAAAAGTGACCCATTTCCTTAGAAAAATGTTGCACTTACTGTATGTACGTGTAACAGTAATATTACAGGACATTACATAAATAAATGCACATAAAGTACATACAATGTACCTGCAGTGTGTATGACCCCAGCAGAGCGTGAGTGACGAATGAACAAGGCAGCCGCCCAGAAGCCACATCCTCACGCAGCTGCAGACACAAAAGGTATCTACAAAAGATCACAGGAGGGGAACGGGAATAGAGTTTAGTTTGGAACAAAAAGGCCTCAAGACAAGAAGAAACTTGTTCACACTTCCTTCTTAGCTTTTCTTTGAACTGAAAACAGCTCTAACGGTCTGCAGTAAAGACTCCCAGAACAGATTAAATGTTTGGTACATGATAGTAAGTGTGGTCTTTTTAAAAAAAAAATAGTATTAAACTCTTGCTCAAAACCTTTATTAGTTCAATTTCTTTTATGTTAGGACATAAACAAGCATAAAATGTTTTAAAAAAAATATGATGAAGTATCAAGGATTATCATGCCCTGGATGATGGAATCTACACCAATACTGAGATGTGGATAGCTGAAAGTCTAATCCTAAATATGATTCAAGTTCAAGAATCTTCATTATCCCCAAGGGGAAATTTGTTTCACAGTCAGTAGGCACATAAAACATCCATACTACAAGGCATTGAGACATTAAAATAACTACAGAAATCATAACTGTTCATTGAGAAGCCTTATTGCTACAGGGATGAATGAGTTTTTCCAGTCTGTTCGTTCTACATCTGGGCAGCAGAAACCTGCATCCAGATGGAAGTAACCTGATCTCACCATGGAGTGGATGATCAGGATCTTCCAGAATCAGCCTGGCCTTGTTCACTGACCTCGCCTTGTGTAGGTAAGTGAGGTTCTGTGGGGATTCTGATGTATGCTTACTCAGTTTTATTCATTCAGTCAACCTTTATTTATAATACCTACATTCTCAGCTTTCAACAATAGAGGCCTCCTCAGGGTGCATGTATCATTCTGGTAACAGAAAAATGTCAATCAAAGCTGCAGACACATAAAACTCATTCATTCGGTAATGGGGCTGCTGCATGTTAACTAGGGCTTTACATGCCTCAGGACAATACAGCATGTCAGTATTTTTATTTGGTTAACTAGATCATTAGAGAGAGAAAAATACTTAATGAACGAGCACTAAAGACCAGTTAGAGGTAAACCATGTGGAAAACAGCTCCTGGACTCTCAACTCATGAGAAGAAATAGCCCTTAATGCATACCTAAAGAATGTTTAGCTCGAAGCAGTACAAACCATTCTGAATGCTGTATTCTTTAAGCAAGCCTCTGTACAAAAAGACTTACCAATGTGCAAAATATCACCTTGCACTTTTACGTTTTCAGTCCACATTGGACAGGTGTATGAGTTTCATTAGTCTTACCAATTTATATTGACACTAATAAACAAACCTAAAGTAACAACTGGTGAAATTCTTACGTAATGAGGAAAAGGCTTCCACTGAGCATCATGGCCCAACTGTGCAGCTCCCCACAGCTCTACGGAGCTTTAATCTGTCTGAAAGCTCACTGTTGTGATGCTACAGCTCACATCTTCAATGGGTCCCGTTCAATTTCACTGCCTTTTATTGTGTGACTCATATTTCCAGCCAATGTGGGCAGTTGTTTTCAGCAACGCTGATGATACAAAGAGCCTAACAAAAAGCAGCAGCCAAAGGCAGGGAAATGAAAGGGACATTTCTGCAGAAAAACAGGTTTGGAGGAGACGAAAAGCAGCACTGAAAAACAAGTGGATTAGGGAATGATTTTGTTGGGCAACTTTTAAAAAGCACCCAAAGGAACACTCTGAGTCCACTGGAGGAGTCAGCTAATGATTTAAAATCAAAAACTGATCATTTCTAAATGTTTTTTTTTAGTTTTTCATTGCTACATTTATCCATAACATAACCTACAAATGTCGTTTTAAGTGCACATGTATTTGTATACCTTGTAATGTCTTCAGTGAGTAGAGATGGATCAGGAGGGTAGAACTTGACGTTGAATGCAAACTGCCAGTTGTTACCTGGAGAAATAAATGCTCATATTCAGAGTCATTTTCAGGAAAGTTAAACTTGAAAAAACAGAACAGTTCATTCTGGTTTTAGTGGTCTGAAACAAGAACAGTTCTCTGACATCTAGAGGTGCACCGATCCGATACCAATATCAGTACCATATCGGAAAAAACTTCTGGATCGTGTATCGTGACAATGTGACCGATCCATGACTGGGCAGATCTATTCACTCGAATTCTATGCTTTGTGCTCTGAGTGACGTCATGCGCTAGCGTACTGACTGAACAAATTAAAGTGTTGTTTTTACATGTTTGACCAAGCTTGTGAAGCTCTTGGTGTGTTTAAGTGTGCTGTCATGAAGAAGAGTTTTCAATAAATTTGTAATTCAGTACATTCATGTCTGCGTTTAAAAAAACAAATGTTTTAAGTTAATTCAGCACTGGGTTTGTAAGCTCAAACATCCAGGTAGACAACAAAAATGGCTAAATCGTGTCATCTGGACCTGTTTCAGAAACGGGTCCAGATGTGATTTAGCCATTTTTGTTAATTCAGCACTGTTTTTCTGTATCGGATCGGGATCGAGCGATACTAAACCGCAGATATTGGTATTGGATGTGAAGTGAAAAAAGTGGATCGGTGCATCCCTACTTTAACACTTCGCTGCACTATAATCTGTCGAACATAATCAAAAAGGTTTGTCATATTCGTCTATATCATTGTTAATGTCTACAACCCAGTTTGATCCACATTTACCCAAATGTTCTGTTCTCATTCCAACAGCCCATCGCCTCTCGTTATTCCATCTGTCCTGTTTGATCCACCCAGTAAAACTTGCACCACGTGCAACAAAATGGGAAATAATGGGGATTACATCATCTGAGAATTTTAATCCAAGAAAATTTGACATCACAATGCAACTATTTCTTTACGCACACATGTGCATATCTTCTCATGTATGCACAGACACTGCAGAGGGAAACTCAACAATCCCGCTGATGCTAAAAATGACTCAAAAACCGTTAACTGGTTGCTTTGAAATTTATGCTGATAGTTTTATTAGATATTTTCTTTCAAACATTACAACAGTTTGAATGAAAACCTATGAATATGGGGAAAAAAAAGTTCCTTGCCTGGCAAAAAAACACTTTGCCTCAGTTAAATTCTACATTGCTGTGTAAATAGTGTCTACAATATACTAAACGTGCAGAGAAAAGTCATTAGACAGAAAGGCAGAAGGAGACAGATTTCATGTTCTCGTTAAAGTGACAGAATGGTTCTAAATAGCAGAGCTCAGTCAGGCACAAACCCATAAAGATTGAGAAAACCTGAGCTCTGAAGTTAAACATTACCAGGTACCACACGCACAGAAGAGGTTCAAAACCTGGACTAAATCCAGACGCCTGCCCTCCAGCCACTTTCAGTCGAACAAAAAGTGGGACAGAATTTGTCTCTCAGCCGTCAAACCAAATTTAGAGTTAAAGATTAAATGGTATTAAATTAAAAATGTAACCTTACTTGAGACAGCTTCTTTTTTGGAGGGGGGGACGATGAGTTGTTTTTCGTTGTCTCTTTGTTTTACTCTGAGGCTCAACTCTAACAATGTTCAGCATTTTTTTAAAGTCAAAGTTTCTTTATTTGTCATATGCACCACATGTGGTGCATGTGGTGGAACAAAATTATGTTCACAGGGTCCCAGTTACAGCCAATAAAAGAATAAATTGTAAAGATAAACAGTAATAAGATCTAAGATATGAACTAAGAAAAACGTCAAAATTAAAAATATGCTAAGCACTAAAATAGTACAAAAACAATATGGTGAACAACAGCAGCACGAACATGAGTCTGTGTGAGCAGATGAGGACGAATGAACAAATGAATTAATTAATTAATTTAATTAATTGCATCAGTGTCTGCCTCATCCTTTCTAAATAGTAGAAAATAGCAGATAAAGACACAATCTCTAAACTAGAGATACAAACATCATGACACGAATGCAGCTCAAGTTCTAAATGCTGGTAAACAGTGGGCAACGTGCTGCTCAGATCTTCAGTCTTACATAAAAGTACAATTTCAACAGAGCTCATTAATGAATCTGCAGAACAAACGTGTGTCTGAGAGAACATTTTTAGGATGATTTGGGTAAATCTGACATAAACACACGGGCAAAACGTCAACCATCTTCATGTAGCCCTCGACATCCTCAAGTAAAACAAAACTTCTAAAATACACATTTCAAAAGGACTACTCTTTTTATTAATGAATCTTGAGGCATGTTCCAAGAAATAAAATGTCTAAACCTTTCATTTTTCATAGTAGTTTCACTCGCAGAACTTGACTAAGAATAAAAGCTTGAAAAAGAGACAATACATTTGATCCAACCAGAAGATTACAGTCAGGCAGTATATTTGATAGAAGAAGACCGTAATGAACATGTAACATGCAAACAATGCCACAAACTTTTTATTCTGGGGGGAAAAACATCAGAAAATGTCTTCCAACATATTCACCTTGTTCACTATTATTCCTCCTAACTCAAAAAAGCAACAAAACACAGGCCTGTCATGATAACAAATTTTGCTGGACTATTAACTGTTTCAGAAATTATTGCAATAAATGATAATATAGTTTGAAATTTGACAAAAAATAGTAGTTATTGTCAATTTTAAAAAGAAAGGTAGGTAATTTGTTTTGTGTGTAGTACCCTTTTTGACTACTGGATGGCAGTATAAGACTGTTTGAATCGAAGGATGGAAAGTGAGGGAGCAAGCGGTGTGTCTCTTCAAGAAAAATGGGAGGGAGGCCTTGACGTGACTACTTCCTGTTTTTTGGTTCTCAAAATGGCGTCCGCTCGGTGTGGTTTGAGCTCCTTAGCATAGCATTTGTCACACAAAACTTTTAATAAAAAATCAGTAAACGAGTTCTCAGCTTCTTTTTGCAGAGAAAAAACAACTTTTTAGACGAAGGCACGGGTTTCAACTGTGAATTTTTGGAGCTTCGACAAGACGGAGGTTTTTTCCCCGAGGTCGGCTTGTTAGCTTAGCTGGTAGCTTAGCTTCTCAGCTTCTGCTTTTTAATGATCCAAAATCGCGATTTTGGACGGCTAAAACAGATTTTAAAGAAAAAAGAGAAAGGGATGGGTCAGTGAAGAGCACCGGAGTTGAGCCTTTTTATCATCCAGTGTCTTCAGTAGAAAGAGAGAGACACAAAGAAACGATAAAGCCGATAAATGAAAACGAGGTTGATAATTTTAATTTATCATGTGATTAATTGATTAATTGATTTATTGTTTATCGTGACAGGCCTAATCAAACATCATACAAACAAAACAGAGCAACCTTTATACACAACTGTGTGTGTGTGTTAGTTCAGTGAGCTGCTCTTCAATTTCTTCAACTAAGCCAAAATGGCCCCCTGGGGGAAAAAAAAAGTCATCCCTAATTTTACACTCACAAAAACAGTAACTCCTCAAAATTATGGGCTAATTGTCTAAGATTAGCATTTTTTCCATTTCCTCCAACGGTGATAATTGTGACAATATTTTACATCAACTCCAAACCACAAGCAGCAGCTCTGATCTTTAAAAAAAATAACTCAAGGACCTTCATTTAGGCTTCAATTAGACGTGTTTAGCTTACAACCCAGTGTGAACCGAACCCGAGTCGTGTTGACTGATTGCAGTCTGACAGCAGTTCAGAGCTGACTGGTGTTAACCCTGTCATTTGTATACAAATATACAGGCAGTGTGGCTACAATCCAAAACTGTTGGCCTATATGGTACAATCTCTGTCCTCCTGTAAACATCCACACACAGAAAGATGTACACAAATGAGCACATACAGAGAGATGCATGGAATATATCGGTGGAGCGCAGGCACGTGTGGTGACACGGTCATAAAAACACACCCACGCAACACTACCTCATATACTAATTAAGAAAAAGTACACTTTTTTTAAAGCCCAAATTATATGTTTTTCACATTAAACTTTGGACTGTAAAAGCTTGTTTTGAATTATATTGTAAACGGAAGATGCAGTAAAAAGAACGAGAAGAACAACATCCTTTCAAACAAATCCTTGGAGCAAAGAAACTATGCAAGAAACCAACAAGTTTACATGAAAATACTTGCTAGTTAAATCTTTGATAAATGTTAAACACATTTATCATAATTAAACTCTTATTACAGCTTGTTTATCAAGCTATTGTACACAAAAGCAATATTAGAAGCTGAAAACATTTCCAAAGTTTAAAGTACCCTTTCCCTCCCAGCTACCATTTTAGGTGTATCTAAAAACCAAATAAATCCTAAACTTGGTAACTGCACACCACATTGATGTGTATCAGCCCTCAAAGGATGAGATACTACACCTCACCTTCCCTTTAAGAATGAACCACATTTCATAAAGAGGTCACTAAATAATAAATCAGTGATCACACCCTGGTAACCTCCTCCATACCGCAGGCCTGCTGTTATCTGGTTTCAGGTATCGCAACTGTTTTTGTTGAAGTATAATGCCTTTTAAGGGAGATTAAGATGATACTCTCCCTATTTTATTAATTGAAAATCTATATTTTATTTATTGCCTATGGTCAGATACAATAACAGATGAGGGTAAGGGTTATAAATGGACACATTGATGCATTTATGAGTACAAATATCCAAAATAGTAGAACTTAGAAAGTAAAACTCACTGCGTATCTGTCTCTTGATTTCTTTTGTGGGATCCAACCAACACTGGAATGTAACAGTGTCAACGAAGGGAAGACACAAAGAAAAAAGAAAACTTTACTCATGCAGCAATGTCATCGTTCATCTCTAGACTTCCTATGCGTCAGTTCTTACTGGCTTTTTGGACATAAGTAACATGGACTGTATGTGCCGATAAGACATACCTTCTCTTCATGGTTGTCCTTGTATGTCAGACCAAAGTAGTCTTTCTCCAGCAGATTAAGATGCTCACACACTTTAAAGAATAAGTACTGACCCTTCGCACGTTTCTGCATACAAAGAGAAAACAAACGTTGAAATAGGTTTGATACTTTTACCACCCACTGCCATAAAACTGCTTGTTTGTCTGCTAACAAAACATTTCTTAAACTATTGGATGGTTTTAATAAAACTTTCATAAAGTAATCATGGGATGTACATCTAGAACTAAAAAGCATTTGGATATGACAATAACTTTTCAATTTTACAGATATTAAGCTAAAACTTAGCGTAGTAGCTAACACATAGTCCAAATGCTAACAGGTCGCACAAGATTTTGTTTAAAACCTAGGGTTTGTTTGCTAGTTTTGTTTAGACTGCATGAAAAATCAATTTTTTTAAAGTTCCAGTAGTTTTCAGTGCCACCGGAAAATGTAAAATGCAAAATGCAAAATGCATTGTACAGTAGTCCCTCGTTTATTGCGGCAGTTTCCGTTCTTAGTTCCCCAGCGATAAGTGAAAAATGGTGAAGTAGGAATACAAGTAATAAATAGTAGTTTATCTTAGCATATATATATATATATATATATATATATATATATATATATA